TGGGAATCATGCTTTATCTGTAACTCAAATGGCCACCTATAAATAAGGTGATAGGCCTAAACCTAAAAGGTTAATTAATAATTTAGATTTAAAGATTATCAGAGAAAAATAAAAATAAAACTTTTTTTTCCACTTAAATACACACTAGAAATCTAAGGTTTTCAGGCTAGCACCATGTAGAGGCCAAACGTGTTCGTGTGTGGATCTACATAGAGGAAACCTTTTTTGGTTTCTAGTGCTTCGACAAAACCAACTACGAAAAGGTATTATTTTAAACACCCTATGGTTTGTTTAAATATGTCATTGGATCCGGATAAGGTTTCTTTTAAGAAAAGTTGTGTATGAAAGTAACCTAACTTTATTTTTCCATTACGTTTTAAAAGGGTTACTTTTTGTTATAAAACCTTACATTTCGGTTCTCTGATGTGCTTGATCAGAGACCTTCAGAGACTCTAGTTATACTGATCGGAAAACCCTACCATGCTCTGAAGTACTTATCTAGAGGGATCAACACTTGTCCCCTTTTGAAGACTTGATGCTTTGAAGACTGATTTTTTCCTTCTGAAGTTACTTATGCACTTTAACCATAAGTGCTCCTCATTTGATAGTGCGTTGACTTTATCTTCAAAAGGCCTAAACTTTCACATTTTGATAATAAAAATGATGTATTTTGTTATATAAAATAATTATTTTACTAAAATATAATAAATTAATCAAAATACATAAGAAACTCATTAGGGAGTAAATTGGTCATTTCACTTGTTCTGATTTGTTTAGTTTTGTCTTACCAAACACTGAACATTTGTCATGTCTTGTTCTATTATGTCATGTTTTCTCTTATCAAATGTTGAACAACTGTTTTGTCTTGTCCTGTCTAGACACCAAACCCACTCTAAAAGACAACTATATGCTTGCTTGAATCATATGCAAACCTGGTTATAAACACAAGTGAAATATCAAAACTACCTATTGGATATCCACCCATACAAAGTAATATCCTATTTGACTTTAAGAACCTTGATACATAAATCACCAATATTTGAGTTAATTGGCACTTCCTTTTCTACATAGGAATCTGAAGAATAAGATTGTCGGGTTGGTGTGTACTAGTTCTATAGTAAAGAAATATCATCTGTCAAACGACGTAAATATTTGTTTTTGAAGGGTCCAAATTCTACTGAGTTCATAACAAAAACTAGGCTAACAAATATTGTTCAAATAACAATGAATGAGTCATCCAAATCGTAATACCCAAGTTGTAGTAAACCAAAACGTAGAAACCAGTCATCTCAGATGAATTCAAAGCTAACCTGATATTTATTGCAATATGATACAATAGATTCGCATACCTAACACCACAGTAACATCTATGCAAAAGATTGGTGACAATAAGAAAGGGAAGATCTGCAAGACAAAAGGTTTGTGGGGAGATTGAATCGGTACCGATTGAAGAAGAAAGAGTTGTCGAGGAATTGAGATTTGGGGGAGTCGTCCATTGAAATCCTTGTTGGGAAATTGGTTTTATAAAATAATGTATGTATCATCAAATTACATGTCATGGTAAAGGCTTGGGCATGACATAGTCATGAACCCGAGTTCGAGCCCTGGGAGGGGAGTGTTGGCGACATTTAAGTGGGGACATGTTTAGCCTCCAAAATTGCCGGGGATTAGTCGGGCTTTGGCCCGGACACCCTTACAAAAAAAAAAAAAATTTATATTTTATATATTAGGTACCAAAATAAATATTTAAAAATATGCTAATGGAAACAGGAATGAGCTTTGTGGTACAATTTGTCCATTAGTTAAGGGAAAAGTCAAAAAAATCCAACAAACTTTCTCATTTTAAATAGTTTAGTACCTAAATTATTTTTTCTAATGTAAAAACCATTAAACTTTCTTATTTTGAATGATTAAGTCCCTAAACTATTTTTTTGAACGAAAAAACCATTAAACTTTCACATTTTGAATGATTAAGATCTTGAATTATTTTTTAAAACAAAAATAAGTTATCGAACTATTACTAGTCGGTTAATGTAACTTTTTTGGGTTTAAAGGATGCAAATATTCATTTTCTAAAAGTGTGATGATTTATTTATTAAAAAATATTCACAGACTTAATTAATGAAAATGAAATAGTTAAATGATTTTTTCATTCAAAAAGAGAAAGTTTAATTGTTTTTTGATTCAAAAAAATAGTTCAATGACTTACTAATTCAAAATAAAAAAGTTTAGGGGACCGTTTGGTTCGCGGAATTCGAAGGAATTGGAATGATAAATTTCATTGACCGAATTTGAATTCCTTTGTTTGGTTCATTTTCTTGAAATGGATGGAATCCTTCAAATTCCATTGAATTCCACAAGTTAATGAATTCATCATTCATTGGCATAACAGAAGAATTGAATCCCGATCACCATCCCACCACTGTCATCATTACTGCTGCCACCCATCCCCATCGCCCCACCTCGCCCCTAACCGAACCCCTAACCCCCACACCACTATTGTCGCCTTCACAATTGCCACTCACCCGTGCCCCACTCTACCCCAACCTAACCCACCATTAAAGACCATACCACTATTGTTGTCGTCATACCCATCCACTCCCAGGCCCCAGCCACCCAACCATTATCATCGTCACAACTACCACCCTGTCACCTACCCCTACCCACCTCACCGTCCTGTCGCCGCCCCCACCCCCACCTTACCCTACTTCAACCCATAACTAACCACCATCCTACCACTGTAGTAATCACAGCTACTACCCTGCCATCCACTGCCCCAATCTAGGCCCACCTCACCCCCACCATGCCTGCCCCCAACAACCCCTGCCTATGGAGAAAGGGTGGGGGAATGATTGGGGTAGTGGGGTAGGGTTTGGGTAGGGGTGATAGGTATGACGATAATAGTAGTGACATGGTGGCTGGTAGGTTTTGGGTGGGGCGATGGGTGGGGTGGTCCAAATAAAGACGATTGTTCCAATTCTACTGAGAAATTTAATTCCAATTCTTACCAACCAAACACGTGGTCAACTTCCACCAAATTTCATTCCAATTCCTTCAAAGTCAAATTCTTTTTATGGATTCCAATCTCATCAAATTCTATTATGTGAACCAAACACCCCATAATAGTTTTTTCATTCAAAAAAATTGTTTAGGGATTAAACCATTTAAAACAAAAAGTTTATTGAATTTTTTTGAACCTTTTCTTTTAATTAAACGGTAAGAAGTAAGTATTTAGGTAAGATTTTTATCTCTCATCCCATTATATAGGGCTAGGTTCAGAGAAAAACACAATAAAATGAAAAACTAAGAAACATTGTCATAACCACGGATTAGTTCTAATCTAACGATTATAAAAAAAAAATAGCAATTTTAACATTTTATTAAAATGGAAAAGGGTAAAATGATACATTTCATAAATGGATAATCATTTCCATTTATTAAAAATCCCTAAAATAAAAGAAAACTACTACAATATATGGAAACTTCATAATCATCTAAAAAATCTATAAACAAAAGTATTTCAACAATATACAGAAAAAATATTCAATTACTGACTGCTTCACTCAATTTATGCGTCACATACACATGTGAATGAATCACCACACTTATCATCTTTCAATTTCTCGACTGCATGCCCATGTGAATGAACCTTCATATTCACCATCTTCTAATTTCTAGGCGGTATGTACATGTGAATGAGCCGTCGTATTCACCTTTCTTCATTTTCTGGGTTGTATGCATATGTGAATGAGTCATCGTATTCATTGTCTTTCATTTTCTAGGTTATATGCACATGGGAATGCATCACAATATTCAATGTCCTTGAATTTGTGGGGTTGAATACACATGTGAATGAGACACAATGTTTAATATCTTTCAATTTTTGGGTAGCATGAACATGTGAATGAGACACCATATTAATCATACTCACACATGCATAAAACCTAAAAGACCAAAGTAGAAAGAGATAAAGATGAATTCTTGAATTCCTCCCGTGTATTCACGTGTGCAAAAACAAAAAAAAAATACTAAAAAGTTTAAGGCTTGAATTCCTCATTGTATTCACGTATGCATAAACCCCATAAAACATAGAATTTCAAAGATGAACAACTCAATATAATTTCAGCATCGTAGAAAATGAAGACAGTAAATATGTTTTGCATGCACATGTGCATACAACCGTGAACATCTAATTTCAACATCCCCTTCTTTGGCACCACCGCCTTTGCTTCTTATCCGGCCTCTATCCCAACTAACACCACCGCTTCTACATCTTCTTCTTTATTTGATCCTTCTATGTCATTAAAAATTAGGGTTCATCTCCATTTGAGAAATCAAGAGATAGATAGAGAGATGAAAACAATAGCCATGGAGTAGATGAAGGAACACAGTCATTGAGAAGAGGAATAAACACATCCATGGAGAAGAGAAAGAAACACATTCAGGAAGAAGAGAGAGAGAGAGAGATAGAGAGAAATCAATGGAGATAATTTTATTTTAATTATACCATCTAATTAATGTTGAAATTTTCATAACTGCTTTTACTTTTAAATTATTTTGAATTATATCATTTAAATCTTGACGTTTGATTTTTTTAATCTAAAGTATAAAAATGTGTTTTTTGATTTTTTTAAGTTTCCATAAACCTCCCCTATTATATATTCATTTTTGTTTTACATAAGGTGCTATTTATCAAAGCTTATCAAATCATTTTATTTTACCCAATGAATATAATAAAGACTAAGAATCTTACCTGATAAAAATGAAAATAAGAATCAAGAGTCTCACCTGACAAATAGGGACGACCACTCCTACTATAATTATCACTTATCGGGATTAAATTATTGTATGTGATGCGTTTTAGTGAATAAAATGTTATCCGGTAAATTGTTGAATTTACTCACCATATAATTGTTTAGGTAAAAGGGACCTAATTAATCCCAAACATCCCCTCAACATGGGACGTGTTCGTAGACCATGGTGACAAAATGGGAGGAGGATTTAAATCGGTTCACGGACTCTACAACTGGATAACCGTAGAAAGGGGTAGAGACAGAGAGAGTGCAGAGAGTAGGCAACAATGGCGTCTTCGTCTCTTTATCATCTTTCTCCTTTTCGTCCTTATAAATCTCCATCGTCATCATCATCCTCTTTTCGCCGTGATGTATCTGTTCCTGTGGCTTGTAGTGCTTCCCGCAGACTTGCTCTGATCCAACTCGGAACCGGTATTCTATAGCCCCACAGAAGTATTTTTATAAAGCTATTTATGCATTACTTACTCATTTAGCTAAGTAACTTTGGGTGCATTTTTTTTGAGGATTGGTTATTATTCATTGAGAGATTTTGTGCGCTACATTGTTTAGGTTTATTGAATTTTACGTTAAATTTTTGATAATGATGGAGAATTCTCAATTTCCATTTGTCTGTGTACTCCCTTCGATCCATATGACTTTGTAATTTCACTTGTTATGGACTTCATTAAACTCTAAAGGTAGTACACCTGGTATAAAAGAATGAGAAAAAACATTCAAGTGGATAAGTGTATTAATGTAAGGTTTTTCTTTTTTGACTGAATATTCTAAAATAATCTTGTGGTGTTATCCATAGCTTGTAATGAACTTTATGAGAGAATAGTTAATTTTAATTCGAAATGTGCCAAAAACTTATGAGAAGTCACAAAACGGAAATCTTGAAATCTTTTGGACTGAGGGACTAACCAATTTTGCATTTGAAAAGTACTAGTCTTGACATCAAAAACTGTGTTGTAGATGTTCTATGGACGAAGGAAATACTAAATGATGGAATTGAGTGCAACATTGTGTTTGTGATCCAAATTTCACCAGACTAAGTATAGTAATGATTCTAAATCCTTGATTGCAATTCCAATAAGCTTGCATGCCTGTGTGATTGTGCCTTCAATTTGCTATGGGTTATCACCCCCCTTGCACCCCAAAATGGAAGGGCTACAACTTTTATGGTCAAACTTGATGCTATCTGGATTCAAAGTTGCTGAGTTTTGTTATAATTCTATGCGACTATTTGTTTTGATGCTTAATTGCATAATCAGCCTGTTCAACCATATAAGTGAATCTACATTTGTTTCTTTTGAAAACAATGAGTATCATCTTTGTCCGATCTTAAAAATTTCTAGATTTCAGACTGCAGAAATAACGAGTCACAGATTGGATTAAATCTTGGTAAATTCTTCTAAAGCGTCCATGCTTTTGGATCACTAGTTTCTATATTTGATGAAATTCCGTTGTAGAAATCGTGAATGAGTTCACAAGTTGATTTTTGGGATAGTTAAAATGAATTCCACCTTGTTAGAGCCAACTAGGTTGATGACATAAGCTCTTGGACACTTCCCACCAAATGAACTCCCCCCTTTTCAGTTCATAGTCACTTTGTTACCAATAATAGATGCAATGAAGTCTTCTTGCTTTGCCCATGATACACTCATTTAACCAAATTACCACTTAAAAGGACCAAATATGATAATATGCAGTTTACTTCAAAGTTGAAGTGATCATTATGGCTTGTAAGGGAAGGTCTATGGTGGCACTTTGGTCATCTCAAGATTAATTATGTTGAGAGGCATCATCGAATGCTGATACAAATTCCATGTTAGAATAGATAGATGAGTATCCTGATTAAGTGCATGCCATTCGTCAAACATGGCTTTCTGCGGTACTGTGTTAGAGCTAGCCTCCGCATATGATGAGAAAGTAAAGTGGAGTAAGGCTGATAACCACGAACATGGGTGAATCGATGGGGTCATTGGTTAAGACATGTTGATCAGGAAGGTTTGCAAGAAATGGATCTGTGAATCAATATGTTCGACAAGTTTGTTAATCGTGATCAAGTTCGATAGATTCAGGAATAAGACGTTCAAAACTTGGATGGTGAAAAGGAGGAAGTATGTTTAAGTTGGGTTAGAGAGGTGGTTGTAGGTAATGGTGTGTGATCAGTTGAAAAAGGATGCTAAGAAGTAGGAGGATATAGTTGAGAGAGGAATTGATAAAGAAGGAGGGAGAGTTGTCAACTTGAACATGGAATTTGGATATGGTTGAGGTTGTTCTCAAAAGACAAAATAACATGAGGTACAAAGACATTTTTAAATAGGACCTGAACAGTGATATCCGTATGCTCAACCCCATACCCCAAGAAACAAACAACAAAGACAAGAACGGGGTTCAACTTTACCATAGTCAAGTTCGTTATTCACTAGCAAGGAAACGGGTAGGATCTACCAAGACGGGTGGCTTCTGCCGCGCAATACAGGACAAGATTGATGGAATGCTTATGAAGTTGGAGTAGAACGAACGTGCACAACCCTAAATTTTTAATAGTTCATAGGCTGGAGATGCCATAGTGATGTTCGTAGGAGACTGCTTTTGAAAGATGGAATTAGGTGTTGATTAATGCTATATCACTTCACCCCACAATCATCTAGGACATCTACTTGATATAAGAAGGGTGCAAATGTTGTTAAGAATAAGACGATGACCATTATGTTGAGATGTACAAGGACAAACGTGTTGGGAGATTGCCCCTTGTTGATGAAGAAATTTGAGAAAGTGAGTTCCTTTGTATTTCATGGCATTATTGGCACGTAAAACTTTAATAGGATGAGAGAATTGTGTCTGAATCATTTTGGAAAAGCTGAGATACATTTGTAGGAGTTCAGATTGGTTTTTCATTAGATAGATCCAAGTAAAGCATGTGTAGTCATCTAGAAACATAACAAAGTATCGAGATCTCCTGATGGTGGGGTAAGGAGAGGGTCCCCATATTTCATAGTGATGAAGATCTAAAGAAGCAGAACTGAAAAAATCATTGTGGGCAAGGTTTTAAAGAACGGAAACAAGCCTCGAGGCGTTTTCCTCTTAGAAACGTGAGGCATAAGCCTCAAGGCGGTCTACGCATAAGCCCCAAAAAATAAAACAGAAGAAGTCGTAAATCCATTACACTTGACAAATATAGTTTAGAACAGAATATTTATACATAAAATTCATAAATCCATTGCACTTTAACAGATTATACATTATTTATACCTTAAAACAGAATATTTATGCATAAAAAACAGCACATATAAACATAAAACAGCTTATGCATAGAGTATACATACAAACACAATATTTTTAATCTTATACATAAAAACAGAATAATTTATATATGTTATAAATGTATAATTTATACAAACAGATTATACATAAGCTATACCTTAAAACAGAATGTTTATATATAAACAGAATAATTATATATAATCAGATTGTACATAATTTATATGTAAAAACAGAATATGATCACAATATACAGAATATGGGTACAATATACAGAATATGGGTACAATATACATAAAACAGAATTTTTACACATATAAGAACATGCAGCAAAACAGCATATATACAATATATTACCGGTTAACAGCATGCAGATTATAAAAAAAATACAAGTCTGTAGTCTTTACACGTTGAAAAAACAAAAATTAAAAAAACAATCTTTACACATGCAGCAAACCAGAAGCAAAGAAGCTTTAGAAAACTTACCTGTTTGGAGAGAAGAAGCAAACCAGAAAACTTTCAAGACTTCAAGTGGAGTATATAAATACGTTTACTGTTTTGGAGACTTTTGGTATTGAATTGGTCAATTATTAAGGCAGAAGATAAAAGGAAGAACAAGAGTATAGGGAAGAGGCAAAAGAATTGATCGATGATTCAGTTTCCATATAATATTAGTTTTTTTAAGGTTTAATTATTTCCTTACATACAGAAGGCATATGTTCAATTGGATGTCAGAGGCATCCACCTCTGGACCGGCCCACCGCCCCACTGGCCCACAGCCCGCCTCACAGTTTAAGGCGTACTTTCAAGCCTGGATATTAGAGGTGCATGTCCCTGAACGGGTTTTGGGCCTCACCCCCTGAGGCACGCCTCACGGCGCACGCCTCACGGCGCACGCCTATACGCGTTTTTTAAAACAGTGATTGTGGGCAAGGCTAGTTGTTTTCCAAGCTGACATGGCAAAAAGTGACTTGATCAAGCTTAACAATATCTAACTGACCTGAAGAAGCAAGAGATTTAAGTCATGTGACAAATACATGACCAAGGTGTGAGTGCTAAAGAGACACATGTGGTGATGATGTGATCTAACTGGTGATAGGGATTCTCTGAGGGTGTAGTGGTTGGTAGATGGTGTAGATCCCACTTTCAACAACAATTCAAGTATAACTCGATAAAGAATATAACATTGAAGAACATAGAGTGGAGGAGCAAATATGTCGGCCTCAGATTAGATTTTCAATAAGCTCAATAACAAATGGCCTCTCTCTCTCTCTCTCTAAAACTCTAAGCCCAAGTCACCTTTATATAAGTGCCATTACAACATAAAAGCCCAAGCCCAGAGATGGAGATGAACCAATTCAAACCTATCCCAACAATATGTTTCATTGTTAGATCCTGCACTTGACAACTGGGAGAAGAAAAAATGGCAGCTAGACCCAAATCACATAATTGATCGATGGAGATGAGACTCGTAGCAAGTTTATGTACATGAAAAGCATTAGGAATAGAGATGTCGGCATTGGACGCTTCACCAACGTGACTAACACTGAGTTTAGACTTTAGACCCATGAATTGTTTGAACAAGTACCTGATGTGTAATTGTTTTTAAAGTGAATTTGTCTGGATTAGGAGTATATGGTGAAATTTTGAACATAATCGGTGACAATGATTTGAATGTGGATTAAGGCATAACTAAGGTCACTTACAAGGTTGCGTAGTTGTACACGAGTTGGGTGTGCGATTTGAGTAAATTGCATATGTGGTGGTAAGCAGAGGGAATGTGACACGGGTGGCATGTATGATGGGTTTAGTTGATTAGGTTCATGGAGGCATTTCTTCTAATTAAGAGATACCATATATGAAGGTTTTAGAGAAATTATGTACATCTTCTCATTGATAATACACTAGTTTATATAGAACCTAAGTTGCATCTTGTATTTAATAGATTTGAAAAAAGGAAAATAAACTACTACTTATGTAGAGTCTGCTACTAAAAATGTAAACACAATCCTTCCAAATCAGGGATTATTTTTGTATATCATATTTTTTGACTCCCGCTTGGGCTGATGCATATATATCATACATGCGCTACTTGTCTACAAGAAGATCAAACAGTGGTTTGAATAGCCCTTTGATTAGAATATCTGCAGTTTGCTTCTTGGATGTAATAAATGGAATGCAGATAGTTCCATTGTCCATCTTTTTCCTTATGAAGTGTCGGTCCACTTCAATGTGCTTTGTCCTGCTGTGCTGGACTGGATTCTGTGCGATCCTAATGGCTGCTTTATTTCATAGAACAGCTTCATTAGTAACTCAACCTTCAATCGTAAATCTGTAAAGACCTTTTTGATTCAAAGTATCTTACTGTGTCATTTGTCATTGATCTAAAACTCAGTCTCTATACTACCTCTCTAGATACTACACTATGTTTCTTGTTTCTCCATGTGACAAGATTTTCCATACATAAGTACTATATCCTAATATAGATCTTCTACTCATGTTTGGGTCTGCCTAGCTTGCATCGATGATATCATCCAAAACACTTGTTGGGGTTGATTGGTGTATCAAGAATGTCTCTTCTTCGTGATACCTCAATACCTTTTTCTGATCTTGCAATTTACCAACAAATATTTCATTTGTCCAAGGTCCTTACTTCAACGAATTGAAGATGAGAGACATTGACTTTGTCTCAACCCACCTTCACTCCTTCAAAGAGCCCCTTAGACTTTACTTCTTCCATAACCATATTCATTCCTTTCATCTTAAATATATTATAATCTTGATCTAGAAAGCATAAAATCTAGAACCAAGCTCTTTATTGTGGAATGAATGGCGTTATAAGTTACTGATTTGTGAAATTGCGCACTTGGCATATGAATGCATTATGGAAAGTTTGAATATAAGCTTGCTTAGAAAATACTTCTCTTTGTCCTCCTACTATGTGTGTTAGCTAGATATTTTGCTTTATATGACAGTGTGTTGAGAATTAATCTGATTGATTTGATTAATTATGCAGTGATACCTCAGTCACAGTTATTTGGCGTGAATGCATCTACATTACTGAAATCTGATGGAAACATGACCGATGTTAGCACAGTTGCAAATACAGCAAAACCTCTCACCGAGGAAAATGCATTAGATTGGTTGAGAAAGGATAAGAGGAGAATGTTACATGTTGTTTATCGTGTTGGGGATTTGGAGAAAACTATAAAGTAACAACCTTATCTGTGTCAGGTTCTGCAAAAAGCTGTTCTTTTATAACAAGTGATGCATGCCTGAAATTGGAAGTTAAATAGATCTTTATTCTTCCAGGTTTTATACCGAGTGCTTGGGTATGAAATTGTTAAGGCAACGCAACATACCAGAAGAAAGATATGCGAATGCTTTCTTGGGATATGGACCTGAGGAGTCTAATTTTGTTATTGAACTTACGTACAGTACGTCGCCTACTTGAACTGAATGGTGGCTACATATTTCTTTATTTAATTGAATACCCTAAGGGTGTTTATAACTTTAAACTCTGCTATGAATCTTAACTTCAATTATTATTAAATCATGTCATTGATATTGGCTTTCAATTTGTAACCATGGTTGCACGCAGATTATGGAGTCGACAAGTATGACATTGGAACTGGTTTTGGACACTTTGGTATTGCAGTTGAAGATGTAAGTTCATTTGATCTAGTAACCATTATGACAATGACATGTCCATATCTTTTTTGTTCTTCTCTATTTATAACATTTAAGGTAACTGACCCATTCAATAGTGCTTTAAGGAAAAGCCTTTGTAAGTTTGTATGTCCATGATGTTTTAGTGCCACACTGTCTAGAAAGCACACTTAGGAAATCTATAACACATAATAATCACCCAGTTTTCTCAAGTGATCACTTATAAGGCATGACAAGCCAATAGAAGCCTAGGCTTATGTGAATCCCTAATGTATAGGAAAAACAACTGACAGTAGAATCTTTTGCTTAGAGATAAGCACTTGAATTAGCCTCGAGAATATCTCTCCTAACATGCAAAATTATAATAAGGATTGCAGTGATAATCCACTCTGCAAGTCAACTCAGGCAGCAGTGCCCTACGAAGTCCATTCTGGTGGAAGTTTTCATTGTTGAGATACCAAGGGAACAAGACAAACTAATTTGTATTTGGGTGTTGGAGAAGGCTTCTTAGTCCATGAGACTAGTTGGGGTATGGGACGGGATGAACGGGTCAAAGGGTTTGTCATGTGATACCCATACAAGGTGACTTGTATAACCTGGCATATACACTTGATCTGTGCAAAAGATTATCATTATACATTGGGCATCCCTTGGGTTTAACTAAATATTTACTTCAACAACAAGAGCAAGTGAATTTTGCTTGTTGGGAGGTTGCTACACTAGTCAAATCCATTTCTCTATACAGTAAAAAAATCTTGGTTCTCATGCCTTGTTTCAAGTTTCTGCATGCAGTGTTTTTTCTACTCTTTTTGTCTCTCTATTCTCTCTTTGCTCTTCTTCAGTTTAGCGGGTATAATGCCTATATCATGAATCCCTTTTTACTTGTATCGACAAACCATAGTCCTACTATATGCTTGTAGGTACAGGAATACCATAGCAATCTCCTTTAGGATTGTGATGTTTCAGCTGTTGTAGGATTGTCAAATGGATGTGAGATAAAAATTAATATCTTTAGCAATACTAGTCTTCTAACTTGATATTACAGTTTTCCATGTAGAACACATTAAGCATTATTTGATTCCGGTGAAAAATATTGATCATCTTTTAAGCCTGTAATAGATGATACTTGATGATGGTCGTAATACGAGATGCATGGAGTTGTGGATAAGCGTCATAAATTATTCTAAACTTTTGATATCTTTTTCTCATCCATAAGAGCAAATGGTATTTTTCAAGAACTTGGGCACTTAATTGACTGAATAATTACTTGGAAGAAGTTAAACAATCTGATTTCAGCTTTTCTAATGCATGTTTGATTTGGAATTGCCAACAAAGGTTAATCTCTTACACAGCTCCCAATTAACTTCTGCAATGACATTCTATCTAACATGTACTTTCTGTTAATGTCTTCAATAAGTTTATGTTCCTATATGTCAAAATAAACTGAGGTTACTGCACTCTAGTATTTATCCATATCAACAGCTTGACCAACTATGACAAGCTGCCTCACAACTTTCTCTGATGGGGTATCGTAAATGTTTTGTATTCGTTTCTTCATGTAGCCATCTTCCTTCGGTTAGTGTTTCTTAGTTTGTTGGTATGTGTGTGCTATGTCCCTTTTCTTTGCGTAACAAGAATAATGCAAGGCAAGGATAATTTGTAGCAGACAACAAAGTATTTATTATTGTAAGCATATAGGGTATACAGAAATTGTTAACGAGGTCAACATATAATAATAAACGTCTGATCTAGGTTGCAAAAACAGTGGATCTTGTAAAAGCCAAGGGAGGAAAAGTTACAAGGGAACCTGGTCCACTCAAAGGTTCTAGTACAGTCATTGCCCTCATCGAAGATCCAAATGGCTACAAATTTGAGCTCCTTGAGCGAAAGAGCCGTATACTTGAGCCCCTTTGTGAAGTGATGTTAAGAGTAGGAGATATTGATCGCTCCATCAAGTTTTATCAGCAGGTGCACTCCGTGAAACCCACACATATGCTTCAATTAATTATTATGTATTTTTTGCATGTTTCTATGTGGAGTGTGTTGCAAGTTCTTATATTTGCCTTATATGTGCAGGCATATGGCATGGACCTCCTTCGGAAAAAAGATGATCCTGAGAACAAGGTGATTTATAGACTATTGTTTCATACAGCATGAATATGGCATACTCTTCTATGATATAAGTAGCATGTTATCTATCACTAGAAGTTTGTCATGGGGTCAATGGATGGTGTTTGTTCATTTTGTCTGTTTCATGGCTTATTAGGAAAAAATTAACTATTGACCATAAAGACATGAAGCTAGTTTTTTTCCATATTCGTTGAGAGATATAATTAAATGAGAATTTAATGTTTGAGCAATCACAATTTAAACAAGGATGGTAAAATATAAACATTGTTTACAACTTTGGCTGCTTTGCATTCAAAATTGCTTTGTACATGTTGGTTTGACAAAGATGAGGCTTGATTCATCAAAGATGACATATTGACAATGACATCAGCGGAGGTAAAATATCTGAGAGGTTGGACTATATTAGCAATAGCCTTTTTGGACATGTGAATACCCAAGGAACCACACTTGATAGGGTGTTGCAAGTTTATTATGCACAAGACGATAATCATGAACATGAAGAGACATCCAAATATTTTTGGAGCCTGACAAGAAGAAGCGTCTTTTGGAATGAGAATTGAGAAAGGTATATTTTTTTAAAGGACATAAGAGGGCATATGGTTTATCAAATAATTAGTTGTAAGAACTGCAAAAACTTTGAGGTACATTATAGTGAGTCATCATAGTGCAAGCCACATCTAACAAATGGCAATCCTTTCATTTAACCTATGCTGTTACAAAGGTCAAAATTAAATCGCAGTCAGTACTGTGATTTGAAATAGCGGTTATCGCGATGGTATAGCGGTCCAACAATAGCTGTTCATATTATTATTAGAATTATATATATATATATATATATATGTATATGTATGTATGCATACATAACTTAACATATTATACGTATTCATTAAAAATATAGTTTCAAGATCAAAACATTAACTTAAACAAGTAAAATAAAATAGGAAAAGTAAGTTTGTAACTCGAATTGTATAATTGCAAAGCAAAGGACGAGAGGAACACCGATTGGCGAGGTTTATGATCTGGAACACGTCGTTTGGTCACGTAGATCGACGATTCATAACCTAATTTGGTGTAAACTAAATTACTAAATAACTACAGCCTGAAAAATTAGCACAAAAACCTAAAAAACCCAACGTTGAATAAGCCTAACGATTATAATCCCAAGGTTAACTAAGCCCAAAAACCTAAAAATCCTCAGATGCAAATCGCGGTGCTTTCACTGCTATACCACCCAGAAGTTGCGGTCGAATAGCGGTAGTTAGCGCCGATTTTTGTAGCACCGTGATTTGAGGCTGCAATTTGACCACCACTATTCCTCTTACCACCGCGATACCACCTCTATAGCACCGCTATAGCGGCACGATTAACAGCATAGCTTTCAACAATGTCATTATGTTGAAGCGTATAGGCACATGATGGTGCATGTATAGGGACGTCAACTTGGGTTTTGACATAAGCAAATTTTTTTACAAAAGATGGAAAAGATATAATGACGTGACTTAAGCAAAAGGACCCATGTTGCACGAGAAAAGTCATCAACAAATGTAATAAAATATTTAAAACCACCTGTAGAAATAACAGGACAAGGTCCTTGTAGCGGCTGTCACATGTGAGATTGTTTGGCTGCAACAAATCTTATGGGATTTTGGGGTTATTATTCATGCTCCTACCCTGGTGTTCTGTGACAATAATTTGCCCTTTCAGTTAATATCCAACCCGGTCTTTCACATGGGTACCAAACACATCCAAGATTGAATGCCAATTTATTCGTGATATGGTTCTGGATTGCACTTTTAAGCTGATGTCAATATACAGCCATTGCCGAAGTCCAATTTACTACCTCTTAAGTCCAAGATGGCTTGTCAAGATATCCATGCTAGTCCATCTAGACGGGAGCATTATCAGATTTGTTGTATCAATTGTTATGTAATGAGTAATAATGGTGGTGCAGTTAGCCACTAAGGTCATTAAGAAGTTAGTTACAGTTAGTAGTTGCAGGTACTTAGGACGTAACAGTATAAATACATCAGCATATTGGAGAAAGGAGGATATGGAGAACGACTTATCTCAAAATCCCTGTTTCATTACAATATTCTGAATAACCTCAATAGGGTCGAACAAGGTGACAATAACTTTGAGCATATCCAAACTCCAGCTGAGGAAGTTTGCTATTAAAAATGGCCAAGTACCCAAGTAGTCGTGAAGCCCGACAAAAGTATACCTGATTATTGCAAAAAAACATTATTCTTGTTATCCCTCTCATAAGAACTCCATCTTTATTTTTGTAACATTATATAAATATTTTAATGTCCTTTTAAAAAAAAATTGTGTTTAAAATAACATTTTTATTTATGATTTATTATAACCCAAGACCCAAATTTGAAGTATCTCACTATCTTGTTTAATGTTTATTGGTTTGCTTGATTGCTTATGTCATTTCTTATGTTTATTTAATTGTTTCAAGTTGTTAATTAGTAGACAATAATCCCACATTTCAGTTTACATGATTTACAGCTAGTTCATTTTCTCATCTTGAAATAGAAATAAAAATAAAAATAAGAATTGAGTTGATAACTGATCCTTAACAACCACACAATTTTACAGTAAACACATTTTTATATTATAGTTTTGTATGTCCTTTTTATATGTTCTAGTTTTTGTCAATTTTGAAGTTTTGTCATTCTTCTTCTTCTTAAATCTTAATGTTCACATTTGACATTTGAGTTGGGGTCTATACTTCTAGGTGATTACTTAGTTTAACTTTTAAAGGTTATGGATAAAATTTTAACAAAGAGAAACAATTATGAATTAGTCAGAGGAGATTAATGATGATAGTCATAAAGTCACATGGAAATCAACTTAGACTGATCTTTATGCAGACCCTGGATTGCGGATTAGGATTTTTGTCTAATAACATTTAAGAGGACCACCCTGAACCCAAATTTTGGATCCGACGCTTTGTTACAACCCTTAGAGGGCTCAGAGTTGTCAAATAGATCAGTGCTTCAACAAAAGTTGACCATGTAGAATATGAGGTTACATGCCAACATTGCAACATGCATGGAGATTAGTAGAACAGTCGTGTGATTCTAGGTATACCAGCTCCATGTCCCATAACTTGATCAGTAAAAAAAGGTATTTTGGTAGTGACAGCTACAGGAGGTTGAAAGACTGGCAATAAATACATATGTCAGCAGCCAATCTAAGGGATAAAACTACTAATTTTTTATAGCAAGTCTTCCTTTTCAGTAAACTTTTTTCTTTATTAGATCCATGGTTAGAAGAAAGCCAAGTACTTCGATTATGGTGACACGGGTGCGTTTGTACGTGGATGGTGGGGGTCTTCGTTAGGATTCGTTTGTAGGAAACCCTTTCACCAGAAGAAAGCTGAAAGTAGAGTCGTGCCTGAGCCCTGATGTACCTTTATCGTCCGCAGAAAAGCATAAAAGTAGTTTTGAGAGCAGCATACATGGGTGTGAGCACTTCAATCACGTTTATCCATCTATGAGAGAACCTGCAAGTCTATCTCTCTCCTTGATCACAAGATCAGGGTGAAGGCATGGGTATTAGTGTTTATGTTAGAAAGATTCCCCTATGGATACAATTCTTTTTACGTTTCGTTTTATGGTTCGATTTATTTTCCATGAGGAGTGATCCTTCAGATACGTAACACTTGTGGTCATGCATCTTTGTAGTTTATGCTTCCAGTCAAATATGATTTATGATCATAAAGATATAATTTTGTTAAGAGAAATACAAAAGCAGCACTTGCCGTGAAATTTACAGGCTTCTTATTCTGTTCCATTCATTTTCCTGTTTTTTCTTGCAGATAATGAATTTCCTAGCATAGAAAATATGTACTCAATTTTTTTCATTCCCATTTTATCCCGATGTCTGTTATTGAAGATGAATTTTTGAGGTCCGTATGAAGTCATCTATTTGGTGCAATACTTTTCAGTACACAATAGCCGTGATGGGTTATGGCTCTGAAGATGTAAGTGCAGTTTTGGAGTTGACATACAACTATGGTATCACAGAATATGACAGAGGCAATGGTTATGGACAGGTGAATCATCAAACTTCCTTTTATCTTTAGTATTTCTGCAGAAAAAGCAAATTCACAAAGTTTTAACTAATTCTATTTTAACAAGGTACCTTTTTTATATTAACAAGATTGCAATAGGGACCGATGATGTGTATAAGACTGCAGAAGTTGTTAAACTGTTTGGTGGAGACATAGTCCTTGAACCTGGTCCTTTGCCGGTCATAAACACAAAGATTACCGCCTGCGTGGATCCAGATGGTTGGAAATCGGCAAGTTTTCAGTCTTTTTTCACTGTTCGAATATAAATTTATCTTTTATATCGTGTGCTACCTCAGGGTTGTTCTCTCCCTCTCTCTGTGGCATGTTCCATAGATCTTTGGTACATGATTCGACGTTATTTCATGGTGCTTGTCTAGTTAACCTTACAAATCTAAAAGCTTGAGCAAGTAGATGGAGGTCCTTTTGTTGAAGGTCGTTCGAGCTTTTCCTCGGAGTATGGCATGGGTTACTTCAGCACCGTAGTGCCTGGTACTCGAACATTGGCTCGAGGCATTTTCTCTACCCCTTCTTATCCTGAAAAAGCAGGGTCTTTAATTTATTCGGAGCTATTAGAGCGGGATCCACTTTTTGGGATTTTTCCCAGAACGCGATTTGTTTCAATCATTCTCTTGAAGCTCATCCTCTTCATCATAAATGATCTGCTTGCCCTGAAATGCCCTTAATTTTAAGGCTATGCCCCTCAAGTATATGTAGTAAAATGTTCTAGATTCATTTTATAGTGTTATTGCTATTGATCAGATTAAATTTGTTGTGTGTTGTACTAATTAGGCGGGTTTCTTGTGAGCACTTTGGTATCATTTCTTATACTGAAAGAAACAAGTAGTTTCTGTTTGATATAGAATCTGAGCTGAATGTTTCGAGGTTGAGATGCCCTGAAAGCATATTACCTCTAGCATCAGTTGTACTTGACTGTTGGTGAACATTGTTTGCTTTTTCCTCTCTTTTCTTTTTGTAGTCTTTCTATTGAAGAAGCCAACTATAATTTTTCATGATCTGTCTTAGTCATTGTCACCTCTGCACCTTTGACTGTTGCAGGCTAACACCTTCACCAACTCCTGGCCCAACTATATTAGTTCCAGCCTCCACAAAATCCATTGACTCTACTCTAGCTGATTGCCTTTGCCTTGTAGTTTTGATTCCTCTTCTATGGAAACGTAGGTTAATATGGGAACCTGTCTTTATGTTGCTAGTTCCATCTTTTTCGCTAGCTTTATGAACATGAATGGAAGCAATTATCCGATGAATAAGTCAAGTTAAGGTGATATTTCTTGTTTACTATCAGCATGGGAGGTTTGAAGAAACCGGGGACGGGACTTCTGGCCAATTTTTATGGAATTGTGTTACAAGAATTTCTCTAATATGACCTTGCTTAGATCTGGAAGGCAGCCAAACACAGAGTCGCTTATTGTGAATTTTCCCCAATGTATGAGTTGTGACATAACAGAGATGAAACAAGGGAGGCTGGATTTTGTCTTTTCCTTTACTTACATTACTTCTTTTGTTCAAGTTTGGCAACAACTCACGGTAGTATGGGAGGTTGTTTACCTAATAATGCTAGAAGTAGGATTATTCCATAATAATCGTGTTAAATAGTTTTCTTTTCCAATTATATTACATTGGATCATTGGAGACCGGTCTTTATCATCATATAATATAGTGTTTAGTTAACGTATGATCGTTCAGAGTCAGAGTAGGATTCTTAGAGCATCCACAGCACAATAGATCCTCAGGTTCATGGACCGCATCTTGTTTTGGTGAGGCATTGGGCAAAACCGGTGCATGCCATGTGGCATGGACTTGGTTCATGCAGAGGGACTGCTCCAACTTTTTTTTTGTATTTGAAAAATATGTTTGATAGAGCTAATAAAGAACTACCGATCAGGTTGATGGTAGAACCTTGAAATGAACTATCAGACAAACAAATTATTAACTATGGCATTTGGATTCAAGCAGTTATACGGCATTGCACCAAAATGTAATCTGTGTGTTGTGAGAGAGGAATGGTGGAGTATCCTCCTGATCCACCCACTTTATGATGAAGTAGGGAGTGGTGGAGGAACCTCTGAGATAATGCAACTTGTACTTGCACCGGGGGGGGGGGATCCCAACTCATCCTAATTTTTTAACAGAGCAAGGGCTTCTACGGACTAGTTGTTCATAGAGAACTTAGGAGCAAATATTCATTTGTGCTTGCAAGCCTCTCCAGGAAATTTCGGTGATAGAATAAATCTTGTCTATTGTTGAGGATAACTTTCGAGGTTTATTTGAATTCATCCTTTTGGCATTTCTAAATTGGTTTGTTATTTCCGGAAGGCTTAATTACATACAAAGAGAGACGCCATATTTATATTTTACATAAGTGAGCTGTGGGCCGAGAATAGAAAAACCCTAAGAGAGATTTAACAAAAATAACTTGTAATCTTAACAGCATTCTTTCAAGATGAGTTCCACATATGATAATCTTGTAATTGTGTCTGCAAGCCTACGAGCTCTATGGTGAGTCTGGTGACAGCGACCTGCTTAAGTGTTCCCTTCTATATTTTTCTTCGTCAGTTGGTTCTATTTTAGTTGTTCAAATTTGGTGATATTACATTGAATTATTTATCAATATTGTCATCTACCATTTGAAAACTTGAAGCAGATTTTAACAATGTTCTTTACATTTCATTTGTCGCAGGTCTTTGTCGATAATGTGGACTTCATGAAAGAACTAGAGTGAAAACCTCATTGGTATAGAAGCTGGGTAGTCAACAAGTATTGACCAGATCCATCTATAGAGTTCGTATTGAAAATCGATGTCCTGCATGTGCAATTGAATTTCTTAAATTGAATAAATCTTTCCACTCAAATTGTAAACACAACCACTCGCTGTAGATGTAATCCACTCACTGTACAATTTCAACAATGCAATCACCTTTGCTTTGTGTGTGCTTGATTCCATGCGAACTTGATGTTTGGAACGTTCTTAATTGGCTTTTAAGGCGCATGGGCCATGTCTGCTTTTCTACCAATTCAATACACACTCTACTATGTAAACCATGCCATATTGGCTCGGCAATTCAACAAATGCTGCAGGCCCTCCATCCACTTCTGTTTTTCATCTTTGGTGCTGCATTCAAACTGTATTATTCTTTCAGAGGTTTCTATCCCGAAATATTGCCTCTGTTCATTGCTATCATCCATCTCTCGTCCAGGCCATGCTGGGACATCATCATAGACTCCAGAGACTACACCTGCAGGAGTAGCAATGTTACTTTCAGATAAACCGGAAGGTACATTATAAATACTATGACTGTGATATGATTTCATAACTTACACTTCTTTTTCTTTGTAAAAGTTCCTGCCATGTGCTTGCTTTTCATCTTTGCTACCACCTATTGGTCATCCATAATTATAAGTTGTTAGTGAAATAAATACCATAATAAACATGAAATTTGAAAATTAAACCTTCTGTAACATGGCAATTTGTAAAATTTCTTGATGACTGTTTAAGTGTCCAAAACTTTTAAAAGAAACCCCGTTTATTACAACTCTTATTTTTGGTACTCCCTCTGCCCCCATAACAAATGTACACATCATCCTGGGTCTAAAATTAAGGAATAGAAAATTTCATGCCACTTTCGAAAACCAACAGTTCTTAAGCATGATATCTATTATGATGGTGTGCAAGTTGTCATCCACATCTATGCTAGTGTGATGCCAAAATTGAGGTATTATGGAGAACAGAAAGAATAGTTGGACTTATATCTCCATCTCCAATATGGGAGCTTAATTTATTATTGATGGAGTATCTTAGAGTATTCCTCAGAGCATTATTGACAATCACCTGCCATTTTGTATTGACCTTGAAAGAAATTTGCTTCCAATGAAGATCTCCTGTATAAACAATCACATAATATTTCAATCCTTTTTCAAAACTTATACATGCCTGTTTTACTTGGTTTCTATGAAACTACCTTTCCTCGTAAGCTTTAAAAGTTCTCCTCCTTTAGAAACAAAGTTCAATGCTGCCAAGACATGTAAATCTTTGCCTTCTTCACCCTGTTCCTCAGCCAAACCCATGGTTGTAGCTCCCTTTTGCAGCCTCGCTCGTAATGTGGCAGCTCCTCTCAATGCTGCAATATATATATTTTTTTGGATCATATGTAGCCCCTCAAGTGTTAGTTAATAAGTATTTCCCTTACATATGCATATATAAGCGAAAATAGGATGCGGGGATCATGTAATTAGCAAGCGGGTGCAAGTGTTCATTCCAGGGGGTGAAGCAAAATTGAGAAGGTTCAATGTAATATTTAAAGGGAGTTGGGCTTTAAATATCAGGAACAGCTGAGTTAACCAATCCCCAGGTGCCATCAAACCCATATTTGTAGTCCATTATAGCTTTTTATTTTATGGTGTTGTATTCTTTTATGGCCGAAAGAATAACTAAGAAAGGATAGAACCCATAAGAAGCACGATTGCTAATAGCTTTGTGATTGACATTTCCTCTATATTATTCTTTCTAATAGATGCATTCAATTAGTGACTGACATTTGAAAAACAAGTATTACCAGTGGCTGCTCCTGCAGTTAGGGTCATTATATCACCATTAGTCCTTGCAGTAGTTGCAGAATTGACAGCTGATAGTATCTGGTCATGCTCAGCTCCCATGTCCTCGGCAATCTCTATGCAATGTGATGCCACTAGAGCTGCTGCTGATGCTACTGCTTTTGAACGTGCTGTTTGTTCATTGTTAGTGCTTGTAAGAGCAGCCACAGCAGCAGCAACCCCTGCCACCGATACTGCTGCATGCAGTTGAGCATTGTGTGTTCTAGCCTCATGTTTCCTCCTCTCTTTCTGATCTTTAATCCATCTACCCATTGTCCTTCCTCTCATAATGTTCCTGTAAAGCTGTAGAATAAAGATTAGTAAGTTATAATGAATATGTTGAGAGTAGACATGATGAGGCTAGGTCAAACATACCCCATTTTTGAGCAATTGATGGCTAGACACAAAATCTTGGTTGAGTGCTTGATGAATAAGAAATAATTCCTGCAACAGAGTATAAAGCCAAACAATATGCTAAAGACCAAATTTCTATTTATATACTATGTTGGTGATTTTAGTGAATCATAGGGCCATTTGGTTTTAATCGGATTCACAAGAGAATGAAGGGGTTGATAGTTAAGCTAAAATCCAAGTCATGAGGTGCGGGGCACACACTCGTATAAGATAGCCAGAACCTGGGATCACCGGATGTCGTCATATCAACGGGGTCAAGGTTGTCGTGCCACCTTGCGGGGTCCAAGGGTAGCGCCCTGAAACCTAAATGAAGTTTAAGAGAGTTGACACTAACGATTTTAGTGTCAAGTGGATTTTAATGACTATTCATCAGTGCAGTCAGCATGTGCCATCAATGGCAATGATCAGGGGATGCATCCGCTAATGCTGATCAATGCTATCCACAGATGCTGAAACCATTAGTGGCAACTTTACCCACAGCCACAGATGCCAGTTTGTAACTGCTCTTACAACTGCCCAATAATTGCTCATAGGTATCGGTAATCATTTACCTCTAATGGGGTATTCATTCTCGGTTTTAATGTACGAAGCATTACGATTTTCTCAGTTTTTGATTTCTGCGAAAATTGGAAGTGTGATTTGAGATTATCCTCGAGCAAATTTCTTGTAACCCAGACAGTAAGGGGTCGAAATGTTATTTAAGGATCTTACACGATCCAGATTTTATCCAAGTTCTTTTGTAGTGATTTCTCACATACCCCAACCCAATTTTTAACATACTATTTACCACCTCTTGTTTCAGGCAACCACAAGTGTTACAAATGTATTTTAGGATTATGTTTAGGTTTACCAGTATATACTACTTGAAGGTTTTCATGCCTATCTTCAAATTCAAATTGGTGAATGCCAATTCATGAGGAGTAAACAAGAGCACCATGGTTTAGATAACATTTATGTCACATTCATAAAACTAGCATCCTTTTCGTAGATTATGATTTCAATTAGTTTTATCCTGGTGCTTAACTAATTATCATTTCAGGATGAGTATTAGTTGTCCTAGTTGCATTTAATGTGCCTTTCTAAAGTAGGATTTAATTTATTGTTTCACAATGTATTTTTGGTTTTCATATTGTGAAACAACACTGCATTACACACTCACAGTGTGAAACAACACATGATTCATTTCACGGTTCTCGATTCTAAAAAATGTAATGTAAGATATTTTCTTAATGCTTGCAAATTCTTCAAGTTAATGAAGTTCATCATTTGCAGAATCTTGTTAGCATTTTGGCTTTTTCCCCTGATTCTCTAAAGCAGAAAACTATAGGGTACAAGTGGAAGGCATATTCATTCAACTTCCTCCCTCTGAGAAATATTCTACTTGAAATTCAGCACCCAGAAAAGTTTATGTTCTTAAATTTCCTAGAAATAATTCGAATAATTTGTTTGTTAATATTATTTGGTTGAGGGTAAAATTGTAGAAAATATAGTCTCTAAATTGTAACGATGGATGCTGATCTGGGATGGAAGATTACGATAGAACCATGCTCAGAAGTTTATATTAAATGGATATCTGACCATGAAAACTCAGGAATCCCAGAAAGCAATTCTAAAAATATAGATAATATACAGAATGATAACTCATACTAACCTTCATTTCATCACTTTTTCTAGGAGAGACTGGAGGGCTGTCTTCTTTTGCTAATGATTGAGGCTGCTGCAAATAAAATGGAATGTAGGTTCACTCGATTGAAGAAAACTTTTGACATTTTGCTCATCTTAAGCACAACTGGTAAGGTACCAAAGGGTCATTCCGAGGTTACCGGCAGAGCCAAGCGTCCAAGGAGGTCAAGAGTTCAAACCTCACTAAAGGTAAGTGTCGTGAAAGTTTGCCACATATAAGTATTATATACTTAAAGAAAAGAAAACAACTAGTTAAGTTACTTTAGGTGTGAAAATGGGCCTGATCGTGCTTTTTTGGACTGCACTTTTTCGGGTTCTAACTGGGCCTTGAGAAAAAAAAATACTTGGCCTGATCGGGCTTTTTACGGATCTTACATGTTCTCCTGAGAGTGATGTGCTCCCATCAACATAGCAAAATAAGTTGGAGTTGGGGTTGTCAAGATGCATAAGTTCCACAGAAGTGTTGGAAAGAGCTTTCGAGATTTCCACAGATGAAACACTCCATGACCTCCCGAGGAACTCCATGGACTCTGTTGGGGTTTCTGGTAGTCGGCATGCTGCTGGTAGCCAATTCTCTTGGCCTTCTTCCTTTATCTTTTCCAGCCGATTCGAGTTCGAACTGCACACACTTGTGGACACTGCACATAGTTCAAGAAACAAAGAAAACATAAACCAAACGAACCCAATATATCCCATACATATGTAGCGTCTGCAAATTGTGTCAAGCAAACCAAACCAAACCATTATATCACACAGGTATATCCGACGCTGAGGTAGGGCCTGTAGATTGTGTCAAAACGAGATGTGACACAACCTTGTCATTTTGTTCAAGCATCACAGTTTTAGACTTGTAATACTTACTTTTTGATTTTTATTGCTTGATGAAGGCTCCGCAGCTTCTGGTGCTGGAAAGAGACCAAGAAACAGGTGGGTTTTGTATTTAAGCATGCAACTTTGTCAAGTGAATAGAGGAAGTTTAAGTGGTATATATGCTTGTAGCTTCACCCAATTTGAGGTTTCAAATGGACTTTTCTTTTTATCTTTTGAACATCATAGCAACATATTATTAAAATAGGACCCACAAAACGAAGAATAAATACCCATAAATTAGTCGAAATTCATCAGTTTCTTATTCATTTGGGTCCTCGTCGCCAAAACGAGATGGGACCAAGATCATTTGGTCGAGTTCGTTTTACACTTGTATTTTGTGGATTTTAATGAAATGATTTTTGCATCCTATTCCTCTATTTTGAATCTTTATTTTGTGAGTGATTGTTTCTTTTTTATTAACCTGGATATCCAACTAATCCCAAGGTGACCACCTGCTTCGCGGGTAGCCCGGAGTAACTGCATTTGAACTTCTGTAGCCACAAGGGGATTTTTATTTCTCCTTGGATTTGAATCTGGGACCTTCAGACACTTTTGACCTTTTAGAGTCCAAGCTCAAACCAATCAAGCACTACCCTTGTGATTAAATGGTTGCTTTTTGATAATGGTACGAGGGTTACCATTCATATTCCATCCTGATTTCATAAACCCTTATTTCTCACTTATAAACCGTCTATGCCTTTCTCTATTCATACCCTTCCTTACTATTCACCAGTTCAAGTCCTCTTGAGACAATCAAAGGAGAATTCATGTGGTGGTTAATTTTAAGGATTCAAAGGATCAATCGAGGTGCATGCAACCTGCCTGTACGTCTATGGTAAAAAAGATACTTTGAAAAAACCCACCAAAATATGCGTTATTTTTCCAAATACGTCCCAAGATTAGTATTTTGTCGTAAAAATATAAATTTGGCTTTTTACATAGGCTTGTGTGAGAATAGAAGTTAAAGTGAGAAGCGTAAGAAAAGATCTGGATACTTGATCACTTTTAATCTCACCCTCACCTATGAATACGCTTATCACGGTAATTGATCTAGTGTATCTCGGTGCATCATATTAGTGTTGATCTTCAATAAAGATTGATACAAACATGAATATCTCTTTTTACCTTTCTCACTATAATTTCTATTCTCATTGGAACCCAACCCTTTGACTTTATGCATTCGTTTTATGTTATTTGATATATAAATCCGTTGGTCCAAATTTAGTCTTACCAACACTTATGCTTCAAAACTTGTTTTTATGACATTTTTTAAAAAATGTCACGTGTAAAAGTGTCAATAAATTCTAACTTTGTTCAGATAATTTGTTATAAGATACTTATATAAAGCGTATAATTGTCAGAGTTAAAACAAGGACGGACCTACAGTGGTGCCATCGTATTATTCATCTGTCAAAGGATAAAAAGTTTAGGTTCGTAAAAGGTGCAATCGTATAAATTTGTTGGTGCTACCGTATGTATTTTGAAAGTACAATGATAATACATTTTCTTTGGTAGAGTTGGTTTGCAAGGCTTTTCTTCCACTCTAAACCTGAGTTCGAATTTTGTTAGTGTCATTTTTTTAGTCAAATAGTATCACCGTTTGAATTCTTTTTACATATATTTGTTTTTTATAATCATTCGGTTCCGTCCCTGGTTAAAAATCATGTTAAATACTCGGTATTTTCAAGTGTTTCTTAAAAAACATAAAGAGGTGAAGGTAGTTTCGAAGCGGCAGACTTGATGATGAGAAAGTACTGAATTTAGGGTTTTGTCCCCACTTTTTTCTTTACAAAATATGAAAAGGAAGACCCCCCTTCCTTGTGATAATCAAGTGCTTGGTGTCTAGTGGCTACATTTCAAATCATGTTATTTTTATTATTTTATTAAAAATATGTATTTTAAGGATTTATAGTTTAAAAAGTAAAATATGCCCACAATGATCATTTCATACATTTAGATTGGTGTTTAACTATTTCTTTTCTGAGTTGACTCAAATGTCATTATTTTCATTATATTTATGTCCACAATATTCCGAACCAGCTAAAAGACAAAAAAAAAATTAAATTCAACACAGATATGCGAATGCGGTGGCTAGGTCCACAATTGTGATGGTAAAACTGGTTGAATTTGAATTTATTTGTCTTTTACCTAGGTCCACAATATTGTGGAAGTAATGACATTTGAGTTAACCCAGGAGAGAAATGATTAGAAGACCAATTTAGATGTGTGAAATGGCAATTTGAACTAATTTCTCTTAAAGAACACATGCTATAAAATGCATGTCAAATTTCAGCTAAGTCATAATATTGTCATATTAGTATTTTGGGAGAAAATACAAATAGATATTTTCCAGGGTATAAATCTTAGGCGAAAGATCGTGTGAAAAGGAGAGTTAAGATGAAAAGCGTAAGAAGGGATCTGGACTCTTGGTCACCTTTAATCTTAAACCTATCCATGAATCGCTCTTGGTATGGGGATTGATCTGGTGCATCTCAATCCTAATATACATCCAAGTATGAAGATTCCTTCTTATGCTTATAACTGGAACCCAACCCATAAATCTTATAAGTGTACTTTTGAAAATAGGTTTATAAAATATGAATAGAATGAATACATTTATTTTGTATGCAGTTAGACGTTTAAAATTAATTTATAAACGTCGTTTTCTATGCTTAAATGAGGCCCTTCTCCCAGTAATAATTTTTGTTTAAAATGTTATTTATTTGTAATTTATTTTTCTAGGTTGAGTTCCGGTGAAAATTGAATCAATAGTGAGAAGCATAAGAAGCGGTCTTCACCTTTAGATCAATTCTAATTGAATAACAACACTAATAAAGTGCATTGAGATTCACCAGGTCAATTAATCTTTAAAGATAGGCATGAGATTAAAAGTGATCAAAGATCCAAATCTCTTATTACACTTCTCTTCTCATACGATACTTCACCTTACTTTCCTTTTCTCTCATTTCTTTCCATTCATATCTTCTTTATCTTTTATTTCCTCTCTTTAACAATAGATTTCGCTATTGTTTCTAGCTAAATACAATAATAAATTATTCATAGCTCGCATTTAGATCAAAATAATTAAAAAAATTTAATCCAAATTAAGAATCAAATGTTATGACACTGGAAATTTTGTTTTCTTTCTAGAGAGTTAGTTATCTTTTGATAGTTGTCATATCAGTTTTGTATTGTACTTTCTCTCTAAAAACACTCTTTCTAAGCTTGTAACCTTGTAAACTTTTTTTATACCAAAGGGCCTTTGACCTAGCGGTATCGTAGCCCTTGGCCTTCTAGAAGGTCAGGGATTCAAACCTCACCATAGGTGAGAAGAGTGTGTGAGTTTATTTGTTGCATTTGCCGTATATAAATATTATATACTTCAAAAAAAACCTTGTAACCTTTTGAAATCAATGATATATGACTTCCCAGCCTCAATCCGTGTTCTTATTGTAATTTCTACTACCTTGTGTTAATTTACTTTGTACTTTAGATCTTCTGGGATCATCAATTGGTATAAGAGCAAACGACTATGGATTTGGACTGTTTTTGCGATTAATTCATGATCTAGATCTAGTTTTGTGAAATTCTCAATTATTGAAGACTTGTGAGTTCAGAGCTTGATCAATTCAGTGCAAAGATTCCTGTGATCTATCTTTTGATCATTCTTGATCAATTTCTTTGAATTTAAATCCAATCCAGTAGGATCAATCATTTTAGATCTAAAGTAGTGTTTAAGGAAGTTGTAATCATCGGATCAGAGACTAAGCCTCTAGCATAGTTCGACGGGGATTATCACGAATGGAGAACCGTGATGGTCCAATTCTTTGACAACATCGATGAAGTTCTTATGTGATCTATTGCTGAAGGATCGTATGAGAGCTTTATTGATATACCGGATGTTCCTGGCACTCGAGAAACCCCCTACCATACTTGCATCAAGAAGTAAAAAAGATAAGAAGGCTTACAATTTAGATGAGAAAAGAAGGTGAGTGCAGATAGGCATGTCGTGACTCTACTTACCATGGCCTTGCCAAATGAAGTGTTTAGTGAAATGGAGAGTTTAAACTATGCATAGGCAATTTGGGACGTAGTGGAGGCCCAAATGCAAGGTGGACCTAAAGTTATGCTAAACAAGCTTAACCAGTGCATTGGTGCTTATGAGGGGTTCAAGGCTAAAGAATCTGTCTCTATATGATTCTTATAAATGTTTCAATAATATATAAATGATTTGAGGAGGAATGAGGTACATAAGACTAGTAATGATATAAACATTTAGTTTTTGAGAAACCTCAGACCTAAATGGGATAACTTCTCAAAATTACTCAGATTACAAAAAAATCTGAATAAGAAGGATATACAAGATATTTTTGGTACTCTAGACCAACAAAAGGGCAGAGTCAAGGAGAGAATGGTTGAGAAAAAAAAGTTACTGATTCCTTGCCTTTGATATCTGGAAAAGAAGTTCAAATCCAATGTTGGGTTCAAGTAATTGTACTTAAAATTGTATTCAAGCAAAGATTCTCCTTTGTAATTGCTTTTGTACTTTTAGTCTTTGTAATAGGTTTGTATAAATAGCTTTGTCTTTCCTTGTAATTAGAAGCTATTCACATTGTAATAACTTTGAAGCTTTGAAGTATAATACAAAAAACAGTTGGCTGATTCTCTCTTTGGTGTTCATTGTTCATCTACTGTTCTTCATCTCTATGATTGATTTATGTCTGATTAATCTTCTGGGAACCACAATTGGTATCAGAGCTGAATTGCAACAACTTTAATCAATTTGAACATGATTCAAACTAGTTTCTGTATTGGATTGGATTGCTGTGGATTGTTGTTTTTGATCATATCAGACTGTTTTGACTGTTTCTACTCAAATTCTTCATAATTGTGTTGATTAATGTTGTAATTGATTGAATTGTATGCGGTTTATGATTTAGAACTAATCTGAATCAATAATTTTCGCATCAGAATCAATTTCTTAATTCAATTATGAGTTTTTGAGTTTTTAAAATCTTGAAACTGTTCTTGGTCATTTCTTGTCAAATTGACCATTTTGATCGAGTTTAGTGTTAAATT